GATTCTGACAGAGTGGCCCTGGGGGGGTGACGTGGCAGTGGAGCTAGGGGTTCAGCAAGGGGTGTGTGATAGGGGCGTGGGGCAGTTGGCGGAGGTAGATCGGAGGTCGAAGTCGTGTCGCCAGCAGCACTAGTAGTCCGGAGGCTACAATCTCCGTTAGTCGCCAGTCGCCTGTGGGTCAGTTGCTCCAGTCAGGAGGCTACAATCTCCGCGGAGCCAGTTACTCCTGTAGTCCATGCCATTGCTTCGGTAGCCACTCTGCCAGCAGCTCCTGTGTGTCTACAGCTTCCGCCGTCGCCTCCTATCTCCTCTCCTCTCACAGTCCCTCCTCCTCACATGTCCTCTGTGACTACCCCTAGCTTTACTTGGGCTTGTGAACTATTTTATTACTTCATGCTGTACTGATTATACCCCACTTTGCCTATGGGGGTGTGTCAGAGAATGTTGTTTGTGTAGCCTGCAGTGGGGTACTCAATAGTGAGTACAACCCCTTAGGGTTTGCTATTTGTATCCTGCTGCTTGCTAGTCCAATAATTCCTTCCTCTTTTCTGTTCGTACACACAGCTCTCGCTCGTACTTGGTGCCTCGCTCTAGTCTTCCTGTGGCCTAGGCTACTAAGCCTAGGCCCGACTACTTCGTATATTTGACAGGACTATCTGGAGTCCAACTTCCACTACACGGTCATGTACAAAAAAGGCGCATCCAACATCGCCGACGCACTCACACGCCCCACCGCCCAACTCCACGCTATCCTACTCGCCCAAACCAGCCCATTGTTAACAAGCCTATTCACCCACGGATACCGTACCGACCCATTTTTCACGACTGGAAATTCACAGCAACTGGCAGAGGCCAAAGGCGTCTATTACGTAAATGCAGGCACCAACCGCATCTGGGTACCCGCATACTCACTACTGAGGGAACTGCTCCTGCAGGAGGCACACGATGGGATTACCTCGGGACATTTCGGGGTACAAAAAACGCGACAGCAACTGCAGCGGTATTACTACTGGCCGGAGCTGTTGACCGGCGTACAACACCACGTGGGCTCGTGTCCTACGTGTCAGGTGATGGAAGAGCTCGCGAAAAAGAAAGGCGGGTCAGTTGCAGCCGATTCCACCGCCTGAGCGCGCCTGGCAGCAGGTTACCATGGATTTCGTCACGGGGTTACCTTCGAACCCTGGGGGTAATGACGCAGTTATGGTCGTCATTGACAGGTTGACGAAGATGGCACACTTCGCTGCATGCAAGAAATCAATCTCAGCCAAAGAAACCGCTCGCTTGTTCATCGCAGCCGTCGTCCGACTACATGGGATACCAGCCGCGATAATCAGCGACCGCGGCACGAAGTTCACCAGCAAGTTCTGGAAGAACCTCTGGGAGCAGTTCGGGACAAGGCTACAGTTCAGCTCGTCGTACCACCCCAAGACCGACACTCAAACGAAGCGGACGAATCAGACGATGGAGCAGTTGATTCGTGCCACATGCGACGACCCGACCACTTGGGAGCAGCAGCTGCCGCTGATCGAGTTTGCGTATAACAACGCCATGTCAGCGACGACGCGGCAGTCCCCTTTCTACCTGAACTACGGGCAAAACCCTACAGTGCCCATGACACCGAGTCCGGACAACCCAACATTACATGCACAGCAATTTGCCGAAATTCTGCAAGCTGCCCGCACCAGAGCCGCAGAAGCAATTAAAAAAGCCAACGTCATCGCTAAGCGCAACGCTGACCGCCACCGCCGCCAAGTCACGTACCAGTCAGGAGATTACGTACTGCTTGACACACAGAACTTAAGACCGCCAGTCGTACCGAAATTGCGACCCCACTACTGTGGACCATTCCAAATCAGCCACATGATTACCCCGGTGACAGCCCACCTTCTGTTGCCGACGGACTGGTACATCAGTCTTTCGTTCCACGTCAGCCTGCTTCGCCCATACATCCCAACCACAAGGCAACTGCCTTGTCACCGCCCGCCATCCATGACTCGCCCTGCATCGGAGCCGATCATCGAGCCCGAAAAAATCATGAGCCATCGGATTCGACACCCCACGGGAATCAGGAGGATTGAATTCCTCGTTCGCTGGAAGGATCACACGCCAACTGAGGATAGCTGGGTGCCCCTGGCCAACATCGAACACCACCCTGCCTTGTAAGTGTACCCGAGGAGCCGGGGATTCCGCGATATACACGCACTCGCGTAGCGGAGGGGGCTTCTCGAGGGGGGGGGGGGGGGGGGGGGGGGGGGGGGGTAGTGAAAGGAATTTTCTCGATATTCCTTAGCGCGCCCTGCACCCATCGCGTACAGCAACAGCCGTTGTTCGCCCGTTACTGCTAACGGGGCTTCGCCGACTTCGCGCGCACTGTTTTCCCAAACCTCGCACTACTGGACCAGCCGTGTCGGCCTACGCTTCGGGACTAGCCCAAGCCTCGCTTCCAGCATAGCACTAGCTAGCTCGCACGCACCACGTTACTGTTTGCATGTTTCGCGTATAAATGGTCGCTCATGCCTTCACTCACATTTTGTACTCGTTTGACACCTTAGTGCAATTCTCACTACTTCGATTCATTGCACCCGTAACAGTGTTCCACAAGCCCTGCCCCTCAGCCAGCTTTGTGTTCAGGTAGTAAGCAAACTATTCAACCTGGCCACCTCTGCTTTTATCTGTTCATGATAATCTGCATAAAACGCATCATATTCTCCATAATCTACAGCTGCGTTCAGCCTCTCAAGGTAACTCGGGCGATACGTTACGCGGTGGTAACCAGTTCTGGAAATCCGATCAAAGTTACCAGCATCACCAGAGGATCCCTTGCGGAGGTTCAGGCGAGCTACCTGGTGGTGCGAAATTGAGGGAGAGTGTGATGGAGGGGAAGGGAGAGTGTGATGAGGGGAAGGGAGAGTGTGATGAGGGGAAGGGAGAGTGTGATGAGGGGAAGGGAGAGTGTGATGAGGGGAAGGGAGAGTGTGATGAGGGGAAGGGAGAGTGTGATGGAAGGAAAGGGAAAGCGTGATGGAGGACAGCAGAAGAGTAATGCTGAGATGACTCTAACATGACTACAACAGAAAGGGCTGAAACCTCACCTGGTAACCAGACAGCCACACTCTTGTCGCCAGCTGTCAGTCCGACAAGATCGCCGCTTCACCCTCCTGATCATCAGCCTCATCCTGCCCACCCAGGCACCTTACCACGCTGCGCCTCCACGTGTTTTGCATGGGAAAGCAAAAACCTCACATGTTACCTTGATGATTCGAATGGGTCAAAACCTCACCTGGTAACCAGACAGCCACATCCTTGTTGCCAGCTGCCAGTCCGACACAATCGCCGCCTCACCCTCCCGGTCTTCAGCCTCATCCAGCCCACCCAATCGCCTCAGCACGTTTCTCCGCACCACCAGAGGCATCCCTGTGACCAGCCCAGTGAAATGCATCCCCAATCCAGTCTCTGGGTCTCTCCTCTTCAGCCCTTTCACCCTCCTCCCCCCTCTCACATTCCTCCCCTCCCTCTCCCCCTCCTCCCCCGCCCCCTCCACCTCATCCTCCTCTCGAGCCAAGTCTGTCCAGAACCTGACGATTTTGCCGGTTGTAGGGGCGGTGAGATTTGTCATGTTATCCGTCCGATAGCCGACCATTCCAAGCCTGGGCCATGCGAAAAACGCAGAGAGCAAATCCTGCAGCCAATCACAGCTCTCGGGCGGCAAATAGTCGTCCTGTAGCAGCACTAGCAGGTCGCCTCGTGCCATCCATGCCAGATCATTATACCCCCGGGAATCGTCCACTGAATGGGGTAGTACCGGCACGACAAAAATCCCCGGATCGGTTTTGGTCCACATTTCCATCCACTGCCCGAGGGTTTTCTCTGGCTCGAAAACATTTACAAGCAATTCTGCCCGAGCACCTGGTATTTTTCCAGTGCCCAGCATCCCATTTGTACACTCATATAAACGCTCCACCAATGGTTTTACCCGCTCCGGAGCCCCGTAATACCGAAGCAAGAAGGTGAAATGCGCCCGAACCTTCGGGTACTGGTCCGGAAACAGGTCCGGATCCTTTTGCCAGACGTAAGGTGGAGCTTCCAGGCCCGGCCGATCCTCGTACCCAGGATCGAGCCTCTCCCAGTCCATGCACTGAGGCTCGGCACCAGCTGCGGCAGCTACAGTGTGAAACCGAGCCAGAAACTCGTCCTGCTGTGTCGTCCAGTTGCTATGTGGTAACCGCATGCCACAATCCCCTAAAAGCCTATCTTGAATTCGTCGGAGAGTGGACGATGCTGACATGGCACGTGCCAGGCTGGCGTCCCGATCAGATTGCGCGTCAGCGACAAATGCTGATGCGGACGAATGGTCGGGTCCCTCTCGGTCAAACGAGAAGGAGTAGATCTGATACCACATGACGAAGGCTTCAAGCCGTGTCTTGTTGGCTGGAAGAAGGAGCGGGCAGGCAACAACAACACAACATGCAAAAAAACAAAGGAGAAGAGAGGGAGCCGGTTCTTGAGAATTCTCAAAACCAGCAAGAGTTCGCATTTGTGTGCATGTTGACTTTTAAGTCGACTCAAAAATCATTTGTGTACATGTTGAGGAAGGAATGATAGTAGTGTTTTGAGTCGACTCAAAACACGGTTCGCATTTGTGTACATGTTGAGGAAGGAGTGATACTAATACTGATGCGCACGAATGGTCGGGCCCCTCTCGGTCGAACCAGAAGGAGTGGAGCTCGTAACACATTAGAACGGCTTCGAGCCGCTGCTTGTTAGCTGTGGGGAGGAGTGGGAGAGGGGTACGGGAGAGGGGTCCCTCTCGGCCGAACCAGGAGGAGTAAAGCTGGTATCACACTAGAACGGCTTCGAGCCGTTTCTTGTTGGCTGTGAGGAGGAGTGGGAGAGGGGTAGGGGCGGGGAGGAGGAGGATTGGGAGAGGGGTAGGGTGGGGGAAGGGGATGGGGGATTGATACAAATACTAGTGTCACACGCGAAAGGCTTCAAGGCTCTTCTTATTGATCCCCAGGTCCATCCCCAGGTCCATCCCCAGGTCCATCCCCAGGTCCATCCCCAGGTCCGTCCCCAGGTCCATCCCCAGGTAGGTCCATCCCCAAGTAGGTCCATCCCCAGGTAGGTCCATCCCCAGGTAGGTCCCTCAGCTCCCTCAGTCGCCGGTTTTTTAGATTTCTCAAAAACCACCCCTCCAGCTCCCTCAGTCGCCGGTTTTTGAGATTTCTCAAAAACCACCCCTCCAGCTCCCTCAGTCGCCGGTTTTTGAGATTTCTCAAAAACCACCCCTCCAGCTCCCTCAGTCGCCGGTTTTTGAGATTTCTCAAAAACCACCCCTCCAGCTCCCTCAGTCGCCGGTTTTTAAGAATTCTCAAAAACCACCCCTCCAGCTCCCTCAGTCGCCGGTTTTTAAGAATTCTCAAAAACCACCCCTCCGCCTCCCTCAGTCGCCGGTTTTTAAGAATTCTCAAAAACCACCCCTCCAGCTCCCTCAGTCGCCCCAGTATGAACTGCCCCACTGCCTCTGGGTTGTTCCTCCTCGGTTGTCTCTGGGTTGTTACCGGTTGTACCCCACTCAACCCCAGATCCCACTCACGGTTTTTAGCGTCCATGGCCGCAGCGGTGGCGTTGGCCTGGGCAGCACTGATCCTCAGATCTTTCAGCAGCGGGCGGTACCCGTCCAATTCCTTGAGCCGCCCCAGCATGAACTGCCTCACTGCCACTTCTCTGTCCCATTGCTGGTAGATCTGCAGGGCTGGTGGGGGGGAGGGACGGGGGGGGGGAAGCAGCCAGTGGCCTGAGCAGCACTGAACCAGCAGGAGCAGCAGGTATCCTCCCAGCACAGCCCCTCAGCAGCGGCCAGTACCGGTCCAATTCCTTGAGTCGCCCTAGCACGAACTGCCTCACTGCCACCTCCCTGTCCCATTGCTGGTAGATCTGCAGGGCTGGTGAAGGAGGATTGGGGAGGTGGGAGAGGGGGAGGATTGGGGAGGTGGGAGAGGGGGAGGATTGGGGAGGTGGGAGAGGGGGAGGATTGGGGAGGTGGGAGAGGGGGAGGATTGGGGAGGTGGGAGAGGGGGAGGATTGGGGAGGTGGGGTGCAGGTATCAGCCCACCCAACCCAGGTCTTCCAATCTACCGCAAGGCACCCATTCAGATCCCTCAGCATTCCTGGAGTTGGATCTGAAAAATTCTGTGCCCCTGCCACTGACCTCCATGGAACCTCTTCTCGAGCCCCTGAGCTCGAGTGTAGAGCTCCAAACACTCCACAAGCGGCCCTTTCTCCTCCTCCCTCCTCTCCCCCTCTCCCCTCCTTCCCGCCTCTCCTCTCCTCTCCCCCTCCATCCCCTCCTTTCCCTCCCCGTTCGCCCCTACTCTCCCCTTATCCCGCTCCCGCCCTTCTTTCTCTGCAAGCTTCCTCAGGTCAACAGTGGTTGCCTGCATGTCCCTTAGAACCGCAGACGCCGTCTCTACGCTGGGAGCCCTCAGAATCGCGTCTGCTGTCGCTTGATCCACCACCGTTGCCTGAGAGTCTGCCTTATCCCTCTCCTCGCTCAGTTGCTGTATGGCTCGGTCGAGTACGGTGTTGAGGTGTGCTGCATCCCTCTCTAGCCGCCTGTCCAGGTCTTGAAGCCAGTCGGCCGTGTCCCGGTTGTGCTGCTGCAGCAGACGCAGCAGTGGGGATCTGGAAGTGGAAGAGGCGAGCAGAGGAGAAGAGCGAAAGGAGGGACTCGAGTGTATTTAAGAGACGTGAAAGAAGGAGTGTTTTGAGACGTCTCAAAACATTTAAGAGTATATCGTCTTTCGCAAACCAGTGGGTGGGTGGAAATTCATGGAGAAGTTATGGTACATTTCCACTCTTTCCGAATTCTGTCTTCCACCGCCACTCGCCTCCTCTTAGACAGCAAAATAGATAAGTGTATCTTCGCCTCCTCCTTATCCCCCTTCGTCCCATCTCCCCTTTCTCTCCTCCTTCCTTGCACAGCCCTTGCCCCCATTTCCCCAGTCCCTGATCTCTTCCCAAAACCTCCTTCCCGCCAGTCACTTCCCACTCCTGCTCCTCACCTCTCACCCAAATCAGGGTACAGCGACCAATCATCATCAGCCACGTCATCCCCTTTGCGTTCCCAGCCCGAATCTGCACGAGACGCAAAACTTTGGTCCCCAAGCTCGCTGTCAAGGAGGGTGGAAAGGTCGTCGCGTGCTGACGTGGATGAAGGTGATTGGACAACGAGGGGTGATTGAGAGGAGGAAAGGGAGGAGGAGGGGGAGGAGGACGGGGAGGAGGAGGTGGGGAATGACGAGGGTGAGAAGGCGGAGTGGATGGGAGAGAGGAGGAGGTGGAGGAAGGCAAAAAGGAGAGCAGCGAAAATCCCAACGGCTATTTTGCCAGATGTGCTGCTGGGTTGTAGTAGCCTTGCTGGGATGGCATCAATCAGCCTGGTTAAGTCCGGTTGAGGTGAGATTCTGCTCGGTAATAGCCTTGTTAGGGTGAGAGATAATTGGCTGATTATAAGAGTGAACCAGCTGATCATATGGTTGAAGCACGGGTTGCTACCGCCGCTACCTCTGCCTCCTCCGCCGATGCTGCTGCTGCTGCTGTTGCGGCTACTGTCACCATTGTTGCTGCTGATACCGCTGCTATTCACGTTGCTGACGCCGTTGCTGCTGTTACGGCTGCTGCTGTAACTGTCGCCATTGCCGCTGCTACTGCTGCTGTTGCACTTGACGCTGCTACCGCTGACCTTCTCAGCTGCTGCTCGAGAGGCCCGCGATGGCTCCTTCGCTTTCCGCGGCATCTCGCTTCAAGAGATGCTTGTGGCTGAAAGAGAAGGAGCGAAACGCCAGATTGAGATGCTTGTGGACTCTCTGGACTGTCATTCACTTCTCCAAATTCCCGAATATCACTCGGCGTTCGAGTTTCTAGACGTCTCAAAACTCCAGTTTTCTTTCATTGTGCAGCATTGCTTCTCTTGCGCGCGATGGCCACATCGCGGTTCCGGGTACGGCGGAGGTGCGGGCGGCGCGTTGTGACTACTGGGGGCGGCTCATAAGGCGGACGGAGAGCGTGTTCAAGTGCTCTCACACACGGTTATCACTCGCTTGAAGCTACTTTATTTCAGCCGCGCGGGAATGGAGTATAAGGCGTGTGAAAGGCGCTCGCGTTCACACGCTATGCTCTACCTCGTAGTCGACGATTCTGACTTAGATAGAAACGGCATGAAAGCCGCATACGCGCAACGGTACATTGGCGAGAAAAGACCTCATCGCGGCGCAACGCTACATTGGTGAGGCAGAAATTCCTAAACGGCTGCGAATGTATGAGATGGCGAGCTGAGCTGTGCTTGGTGTGTTGGCTGGGAATGTGGAGCAAAGATATTATCTAGTTTGTGGCTGGGCATACACCCAAGGTTCAGTTTGGTGCCGTGGAGTGCGAAAAACCGAAGGTCTTGGCAATACAATGCTTGCTTTTCAGCATCACACATGGACAAACGTCTTTATCTGGTAATATACTCGTTATTGCGTCTGCTTTTATGGAGATTTCCGAGGTTGCGAAATCTCGGAAAGCACAACCCCTACCGCGCGTAGTGTTCCTCCAAAGCTGTGTTCGACCTTTACGAATTCTTCATTTAGATTTGCGAAAGCGTTACCGGGTCAGTCTCACAGGTTCGGCTCCTTCGGAGAAACTAGTACACGCCCTCGTGTAGCCGTTGCAGCCGAAAATCTCAAGGCTCGATTTTCCTTGGGGATCGCAACGCAAGTCGATTTCTGTTCCAATCGCTGTTCCTCCGCAATGCAGCTACACCATGGCCATAGGTTGGCCTTCACCTCTTTCACCTCTTTTCATGGCCGAATCCTTGCCACCATGTGAATCGCTCTGTTCCAGTTGCTGGAGTGATCAACAAGTGACCATGTTGTGATTGTTAGCGATCATCCTCTAACGGACCAGTCCAGCTCGCTGGAAAAGCGATAAGAACCGTTTTGTGAGAGCTGCTTTTCGATTCGCAAGAATCGGTCGTTTACGTGTTTGCACTTGGTGCCAGGAGGACCCCTGCTGCATCGCCTTTTGGAAAACCTAGATCCGTCGCTACTGCTTGTTTCCCAAAAATAAACCCAGCATTGACAGGTGACTTTTGAGTCAACTTAAAAGCGGTCGTTGACTCCTGAGATTTCTCGAAAGTGTTTCCGAAAAATATAACAAGCATTGGCAGCTATGCTGCCGAATCGGGCGATCATCGCGTCGCAGTTTTGGAACCACGAGTGCGGCTCGGCGCAGTCACTCGAAGCCGTGGTCCCCGCTGTCCCGAACGAGCCGCCTTCGACCGGCATTCACCTGGGTAGCGGAATCGCGCGATCACAGCAACTGCTGCTCCTGCAGAAGCTCCTACCAAGTACCCCTCCTTTCTCCCTAGCCTTTCTTCCACTGAGCCGTTTTTCTCTTAGCCATTCTCCCTCTTTGCCGTTACCACCCATTACCTTCCTTGCACTCAGCCGTTCTCCCTCTTAGCCTTCCTTAAAGTAATCATTCGCTCCGTTTGTCCCTTCCTCCCATTCCCGCATATCGAACCCGTGGACCCCTTGCACTTCTTTTCTCCCCCATTCCAATCCATCATCTACCTCCTATCCGCCACCGCTACCCTTCCTAGGGTCAGCCGGAAATCCGTCGTCTCATTCACAAGCGGTCATCCGTCTCCCTATCTCTCCTCTCGTCCTCTCATTCTCTTTCTCTTTCTCGTTCTCCCTATCCGGTCGGCCTCTCACTTTTCTTTCACTCGTGCCCGCCCCGTCCTTAACTCCTCTCTTCCCGGGCGACAGTCCCCTTCACGCCATCCTATGCTGCTGACGTGGACGATCAAGGTGGATGGGTGGTCGACCGAGTGCTATCTGGTGTGGGCGGCAGGGACTGGTATGTACAAACCCTAGCTCCAACCCCTTATCTTACCATATCGTGCCATGTCTTACCATATCTGATCATATCTTACCATATCTTATCATATCTTACCATACCTTACCAGATCCAACCGTATTATACAACTTTTCAGCATATGTTGCCATCTCTTGCCATATGTTGCTGACATACGTTGTATCTCGCCGTGCTGCTATCAGGTGGGCAACAGTAATGGGCCGGCTGAGAGTCCAGCGCATGTGGAGAAAGCATTTCCAGCAGCAGACCAACACAACCCTAACCGCCAATGCTCCCCATACAGCAGCAGCAGTGACTGATACCGCCACAGGCAACAACAGCAGCAGCGGAAACAGCAGAGCTAAGGACTGCCCCAGTTCCTCCTCAGGATGGTTCCAGGATCCTTCCATGTATGCGCTCTCGGCCCGTACGCGCATCGCGCTGGGGAAGCAGACTTGGCTAAGCGGCAGTGCTGAGCTAAGCACGCTTGCAGGCCTGGCATCCGCACTTCAGGACAAGATAATGGGACGACAAAGGAGGGAAGGTGGTGCTGTGACAGGGAGTGAGGAGGGGAGTGGGGAGCGAGGAGGAGAGGCTTCGGGGTTCAGAGGCTTTTTCTCGCTACGCCATAAGGTACATGGGGGGCTCTTGTGGTTTCATACAAAAAAAAAATATAGGGGAGGGGAGGAGGTGGATGGGGACGGTGGAGGGGTGGTTTCAGGGTTCAGAGGCTTTGTCTCGCTACGCCATAAGGTACACGGGGGGCTCTTGTGGTTTCATACAAAAAAAAATATTTAGGGGAGGGGAGGAGGGGGATGGGGAGGGCGGAGGAGAGGCTTCGGGGCTCAGAGGCTTTTGTTTCGCTACACCATAATGTACATTGGGGGTACTTGTGGTGGCTAAGTGGACTTTTTTTAGTAGGCTAATAGATCGACTCGTTACACGCGGTTTCTACATTCAGAGGATTTGTCGCGCTACGCCATAAGGTACATTGGGGGCTCTTGTGGTTTCCTACATAGGGGAGGGGAGGAGGTGGGTGGATGGGGAGGGTGGAGGAGAGGCTTTGGGCTTCAGAGGCTTTGTCTCACTACATCATATGACATAAGGTACGCAGGGCTCTTGTAGTGGCTAAGAGGACTTTTAACTCGACACAATATTGGCTACTGATAGTCCATTGAACTTTTTCTGTTAGATGGAAGCTCTTCTCATGGACCAGGATTTGATAGGCCGAGCAGGGTGGGGCGAGCAGGGTGGGGCGAGCAGGGTGGGGCGAGCAGGGTGGGGCGAGCAGTGTGGGGCGAGCAGGGTGGGGCGAGCAGGGTGGGGCGAACAGGGTGGGGCGAACAGGGTGGGGTGAACAGGGTGGGGCGAACAGGGTGGGGCGAACAGGGTGGGGCGAGCAGTGTGGGGCGAGCAGGGTGGGGCGAGCAGGGTGGGGCGAGCAGGGTGGGGCGAGCAGGGTGGGGCGAGCAGTGTGGGGCGAGCAGGGTGGGGCGAACAGTGTGGGGCGAACAGTGTGGGGCGAACAGTGTGGGGCGAACAGTGTGGGGCGAACAGTGTGGGGCGAACAGTGTGGGGCGAACAGTGTGGGGCGAGCAGGGTGGGGCGAGCAGGGTGGGGCGAGCAGGGTGGGATCGTGCTGGCCCCTACGTGGACCCTTTTTAGAATACCTGTAGATCCTTCTTGTGCCTTCCTTCCCTCCTTTTCCCCGCCGCGTTCCCTCTTCCTGTGTTTCCGGCACGATTTGATTGCACCAGCAGGGTGGGGCGAGCAGTGTGTGTGTGGACCGCGCTGGCCGCTACTGGACGCTCGTCAGTCAGTCTGTAACACCACCATTATCCTCCTCCCCTGCCCTGTGTTCCCACATCCGTTCATTCTTTTCTAGATGAAGGGCCACGATTTGATAGCGCGAGCAGGGTGGGGAGAGCAGTTTGTGCACCGTGCTAGCCGCTACTGGACGCTCCTCACTCAGCTTAAACAGCTTTGTTTGCCCTCCCCCTCCCACGCAGATGAAGGGTCACGATTTGATCGCCCGAGCGGGTGGGGCGAGCAGTGTGTGGGCCGCGCTGGCTGCTGCTGGACTCCTCTAGAACA